ATAATTAGTCTTCTTACTACTCAGGTAAGGCAAGAAGTTTCTTCTTGTGTTTTATACTTGGGGAAGCTGAGACCCCAAAAGATTAAGGTCAATGTTTTAAGCTGTTAGTAGCAAACACAGGCACATAGATTTACATTCTCTTAAAAATATTTGTCATAAAACAAAAGAAGAAGGTAAATTCAGTATTTAAGACTTTTAAGCTTTGTGGGTATTTGGACTGTGCAACTCTGATGTTTTGTAAATGCAGAAGCAGTGTTTGGAGGGAAAAACTATTTACTGTCCTCAGCAGATGTTGTGTTCCATGGAAATACATTTTTCACCTCACATAATGAGTAATGATCCTAACTGAGGGGTAGCAGATCATTTTTCTTCAATATTTCCCCAGTAAGTCACATGGGATCCCTTTCTACCTCCTTTCAATAGCTTTTTCATGTTTTCTAAGGTGCTCTCTTCAGAACATAAACACTTCTCTGTACTATACCCCCGTACGTTAAAAGCACAAATTGTTCTCATGAAGTACAAGGTGTCTATTTGGATAAGATCGCACCAATAAATCCTCTATAGAATGAATTCCCTCCAGGCAACAACAAAGGTGTGCAAATGCTAGGAATCACCCTAAATCATTCTGGCAAATGAAAAAGAATCCAAAACAGCATAACAGTAAAAGACAAGACACAAAAAACCACCCACATTTCTGAAGTACCAAACTGAAATCAATACAGTGACAATGAAACACCCTGCTTACAGCAACAACCTGGTCACCATTAGCAAGTGGAAAACACTGTTTTCAGTTACCTAGAATATTTTTATGGTAATACATCTGCTACTATAATTAAACCCAAATCCCCAGACACACATTCTTGTCTATTCTTCTGTTTTAAAAAAGATTTCCTTAAATAGCTTAATTAGGAAATATGAGAAAGAAAATGTCTTTAAGAAGTATTTCTTAGAACACTCTTTTCCTTTTAAGTACAATACACATATTCTAGGAACTGAAAACTATTTCAGACACAATCCTCTTTTAAAGTACAAAAGGCTGTCTTTAAAAGAGCTTTGTATGATTTGCATGAAATAAGAATGAACGCTAAACAAACTGGTGCTGAAACAAAGGCTTTCGTGAAAATGCTTTCATTGCAGAACAGAACATAAAAGCTGCCTGAACAGACTATTGAAGCAAGCCTTCCACAAGGTAACTTTTCTAGTGGTAAATACATTACTTAATCTTAAACTTAGATGTTCAAGTATTAAACAGACAGGTAAGATTTCTGAATTTCCTAAAGATACCACTTAAAAATATAAAATAAAATTGCTGTAGGTTATCCTAAAAACATGCACTATGCAAATAGTCTTCAGACTTGCTATTTTCTCCCTTTTCAAATGGAAAAATACTATTATCAATATTCAAAGTCACTCTTTTTGCTAGTTCAGACTTTGTTTTGGTTTTAAGTTGCTTGGGGGAAGTCCATGATGTCATCAACAACAGAGAAATTCACTTGTGTTTACAATCGTGTATTGCTCTGCTCAATCTTCCAGAAATAAAGAACAATCCTACTGCTGTGAGCTACATCTAAGTGGTTTAATGCAACCCCCTTATTGTGCATTTGAACAAGATAGTTTTAGTCCAACACAAAATTAACTTTGAAGATCCAAATCCCATCTCTGCACTATTCTGGGGATGCTTATAAATGCAAATTCAAGCTGCTGATGCTTTGCTGATGTATTTGCAAACTGTGCATGCATCTGTGGATTTTGAGGAGAATTACCACAGTCAGTACTTGTCTACTGCAGTGAGCACTGCTAACATTTTGGGTCTGGGTGTTGCCATGCCTCCAGCTGCACATCCAGAGATTTCAGTCTAGACAACATTCCCCAGCAACAGACCAGCACAAAGAGGAAAAAAAAAGTGTCAACAATTATTGGACATCAGGTGTCAACCTCCCGGCATTAACGCCAAGGGAGATTTGCTAAATCCCTTCTCTGAAACATCACTGAGGAGCCACGGAGTCCTTCCCACCGACAATACTGATGATCCAGGAAAGGACCCCTTTTGTATACAGATAAGCTACTTCTCAAGATCTCAGTGTTAACAGACTCACAACATCAGTGTTGATGCACATTCTGAACAAGTTACAAATTCAAAACCAGACTGCTGTGAACCCTTACTCCTGAAGTTAGTACAAGGTACAGTCCAGGTACACACACTGAGCTCCTCAAAGCTCTCTGCTCTGTCAGAAGCCAGGACTGGCCATCCTGTTGCCACAAGAACCACACCAGAGGTGATAAAACGCCTACTGTTATTAATTTTATTTTCCATAGTCAAGGCAAAGAATGACAGTGAATTCTCCATTAACAAAAGGTCTAGACATTTCTGATAACTAGCATGCTCCAGTCTCAGAGGGAGGTAGACATTTAGTCAGCCAGGCTAGGATTAACTGATATACTAAAGAATATACTTAAAAAAAAAAAAAAAATTAAATTCTTAGTGTCACTGCTCTCCTCTCTAAAACTAAATTCCTCAGCAGCAAGTAGTGAAACCTGTTATGTAGCTAACAAGCTAAAAACAGTTCACCCAGCACTAATATTAGACATATTTACTAATATTAGTAAAGCACTAATATTAGACAAGAATCAGGCTGATCAGCTTGTCCTGTTGCCACAAGTCATTTGCTGGAAAGGACAGCGGCGTGCAAATTTCTAGTACTCGCTTTCTCATAATACGCTGACAATCAAAAATATGGCATGTAAGCCAGAAAAATAATCTTGACACAAATTATGTAGAAGCCATGGAAAAAGCTTGGAGCAAAACACAAGGGATGGAAAAAGCTGTTGCTACATTTACTGCAACAACAATGGAAGCAAAAGAGCACTTGTTTTTTTCCCCCTCTACTCCTGAAGGACTACAGAAATTGTGAGTTTCAATAAAGAGAGCTTGCATGCAGTAACTGACAGGTTAATATTAAATCCACTCCACCACTGTGGTCAACCGCTTTTCCCTGGTTACCTGTTTAGCTAATAAAGCAGTGTGCAAATTCTGTACTGTTTCTTTCCTTGCATTAGACCCACCTCCCAAAAGACTTACAAAGCAATTGAAAAAGTGGGAAAAGTTTAAAGAGAAAAAAAAAAAACCACACAGAAGTTATGTTTACAAAATTATACCCACTGCTCAGGCTCCTCAAAGCACCAGCAAGAGAAAAAGAGTCAAATAGGGACTGGGAAGGGAGGGCTCATGCTTTCAAGGATACACACTGCTTAAGCATAATAAACATTATCAGCTTTTTCTGGCTATAAAATGCAGTGAAAACTGTCTGGAACCTTACTGACACTGCTAGGAGGACAAGAGTACCTAAACCACTTTATGAAATGGCTCACAGACATTCAAGAGATCAGATGCTAAAAACAAAACAAACCGCAGACTCTAAAACTGTCATCACAGAGCACAGTCTTGCTGCCTTTGGCTTTGTTTGGCCTGTCTTTTTTAGGAACTCATTTTCATGGTTTACTTGGAGTCTGGGTAAAGAGCTTCCTCCATTTTTAAACTTACGTTGTCAATCCCAGTAACTGCTTTAAAAAGAAAATTCTGCCCAAGGTTGGAGTAAACCACTCCAAAACATCATTTTCTTTCTGGTTTTATTTCAGTAGTAGCTCACCAAGAACAACTGGCAGAACTCTGCCTTGGGAAGAATGCAGTTGCACTACCCAGGAACTAATCTAACACCTATGAATGTGCAGCAGCTTCTGCAAGGAGAAATTTGAAGCTTAAGGGAGGAATTTCTGGGATGAGGAATCTCTGGGACGAAAAGAAACCACAAAAATTAATGTATTTGCCAGGTTAGATTTGAATATTTGCAGATGGCTTGCAATACCTACTTGCTCAATATCAAAAAGAAAGTAGTGCCTTTCGTAAAAGCTTAAAATAAAATAAAAATAAATTACAGAAATTATCAAGTATTGTAGTTATTAATTTTACACAGAAGTTATTATGACTTCCCTGATGTCCTTTCCCATCTTCTCCCAGAAACACTCATACAACCAACACTTACTGGAAGCAATTTTCTGCAGAAGGGATGTGGTTAGCCATGCATGAAGTTTGAGATCTTTCATTTTGCTGAAATTTGGGTTGACTGCATTAGCTTACACTAAATATGTGAAATCTTTGCTCTGAACTCAGACTGCTCAAGTCCATGCACTGAACAAGTTCGTGGTCTTTGTTAATTTTTGGCACATACAGAACCCAGAGTCACCAAAATCAATCTTTATCAGCTTTTTGCAAAATTGTTATTTACTGAATTCAACTCAGTTAATACTTACCTTTACAAACAAACCAGAACCCACAGATTTAATAAGACCTTGAAATCTGCATTGGACCACTGGAAGTGCAACACAGTAACAATGATAGTAAATTCCAGTATTAATTTTTACACACTTTAATTGCTCTTTTAATGATACAATAAATCTACTGAAGCTTTTAAATATCTTTATTATGGTTTTATATATTTATATAAAACCACCAAAGCACTTTAAAGAATCATGCTTTTTTGTGTAATACATAAAACTAGTTTCATACTGTGCTTCTGAAATCCTATCATGCTGTTTTTCAAGTTATTTTACAGATGGCACATTTTAAAAAAAAAAAACAAACAAAAAAACACACCACCAACAGAAGCATGAATTTCTAGTGACTGCAATGCAACACGGCATCCAAAACAAGATGTTTCATTACACCTAAGTTAAAGTGTGAGTGCATCATGTGATAAACAATAGCAGTTTGGTCATTTTAATTTCGTTTACAACAAAACTAACATTTGTGCTTCGTGACCTAAAATACCATGATATAAACAAATTCTCTGCTGTAAAGATCCCAACAAATTGCTGTCTGAAAAGAAAAACGTATCTAGAACAGAAGATCAGATTTAAATCTACTCGCTTCCCTCAAGAACTGCAATCTCTCAGTCTAACATGACATACAAGACACAATAAGGCACAATGGGTGGTACAAACGGATGAATACAGTTGTCTGTGAAACTTGTTCTCTTCCACAAATACTAAAATATGTACCGCTCAAGATAAATCTTCTCTTAAAAATGAAATACATCATTTTGTTATGAAAGTCCTATACAAAAATTTAAAATTTACACCATCTGAGCTGCCAAAAAAATAAAAAAAAGTGTATCAATTTTCCACAAAACTATATTTCTCACCAGCACATCCAGCCACTGGGAGAAAGATATCCCAGCACTCTGGAAAAGAAAAGCATTATTTCCCCTGTGTTTAAGACAAAAATATGGTATTCTGCATACAGTAGATTACTATACTTTAAAAAGCCTAGCTCTATTAAAATTACAATATTGATTTGGAAATTATTGGTTCACTGCCTGGATGAAATAAGGCACTTTCTTCCAGTGGGCAGCACTTTTCACATATATGGAGATGATGAATCAGGTTCTGGTTAAAAACAAAAAGGGGCTCAGTGAGGTCCCAGAAGATGACAGGAACATTTCAACAGCAGGGGAAGACACAGGAGGTAAAACCTGGAGGTGAAACTCTACACAGAAGTGGTCACTCTGTCAATGGCATTATTGACCTCGTTTTTGTTTGAATCCAGTCCTTTAGCAGCATTCATATCATTCCGTAAATTCTCCACTGTCTTTTTCATGTTCTTTAATTCTCCAGGGTGTGGAGTGGCTCGCCTTAGAAGTGTTCTCTAAAAATAAACAGCGCAATAAATGGTTTTGCCTTTGTCTCTTTGAAAACAACACACACTTTCAAGGCTTTAGCATTCACATACCACATATTAGGTATTGATCTTTCTTCTCTTTCCCCCCCTTTCCTTTTCGAACTACAGTGCTCTGCGTTGAACATAATTTTCACAGCTGCTTGCTCGTGAAGACAGCAAAAGAGGTTTTAAGAAGTACCTAGGAGCAAGGTTTTTCCTCTCTGGACCTACTAATCTGAAAGCCACTCAAGTGAAGTACAATTACAAGTTATGAAGTGAAGATTCTTTCATAAATATAGTTGGGGATCTTTTCAGTTTTCCCCCAATAACCATCCAAGTGATTTAAGATCACATTTCAAACAAAAATCATTCAGCTAGTTTTGAAAGAATCCAACAAGTTCTCTTTACAGTGTCAAATACATGTTTGTGGGGAGCTCTGTATGCCTTCCAGCCACACAGTTTGGTTCTCTTGTCAATTGAGAACAAATATCTTGAAAGGAAGGAGGAGCATTTCTCTCCCATCTCAGACACAAGAACATCTAACATCATTGTGCTGAAACCTTCACAAGGAAAATAAAATTTATGAAATCCCCATTTACCATCCAGATTAGAGACCAACAGAACACTAAGAAAAAATGCACAAATACGTACCAGTATAATACATATACACATGCAATTACTTTTCAGTGGTATACATGTAAACTGTGCAGACTACAGGGCAACTGATCACTCATAAATGGGTGAATTGGTCAATACTGCCTTGCAAAGCTACCCTTCCTCTTCCACAGTAGGATCATAAATTTCTTTTGCCCCTCAAAAGGTTCTTGCTTCAAGTCAGGCTGTAACATAATGACTGAAAGCAGTCAGCATTAACACCTGAGCTCTCATTAATGGACATCTCAGGTTGGCATCATTGTTAAGAAGCATCATTCTGAACTCACTTATCAGTCAGTCTACAAACCACGCTTGTCAGAGACATTTAGTTTCTGCTGCTTTGGATTAAGAAACCACCTTACTTGAAAACTTAAATGTTCATTTCCCTACTATTTAGGAAGTTTTATAGTCATTTTTTAAAATAAAACCATGTTTCTAGTGTGCTACAATCCAGACAGTGCCCTGAAGTATGTCATGCTGAGCTCTAAAGAGGACCACCAGCAAGTTTTTAGAGCATCGGAAAAGCATGATGAAAATCTGATTGAAACAGTCTTAATCTTTAAATAGTTTTACATGTTAATGAAAGTTAGTGAAGCTGAAGATCATGTTGCATTTTGATCTTCAGGAGATGCAGAGCCCAACTTAATGGAGAGGTCTTATAAGTACAGTGACAGATGTTCCCACATCCTTTGTTTAAGTGGGAAACTAATGAGCAACATCCCTGCTGTTTACAGACACTACGATTGTTTCAATGCAAATGGTGAAGGGAAAAAAAAAGAAGAAAGAGAGAAAGAAAAAGAGAGGAAGAGACTTGAAGTAAAAATTAGAGAGACAAACAATGGCAGACTTAATGAAGACACACGCCAGTGCTGGAATCCTAAATCAGATGCTATGTACTTTCAGGCAGCAAAGCTTCACAGATGCAGAGAAAGATCCTATCTTGTTTCTGGAAAGAAAACATTCTGAGCAGACACAGGAAAACAAAGCAAAACAAAGACTGTCCTGCATCAGAAAAGTTATATTCAAAGCAGAATAAAAACACAAAAGGCATTTTAAGCCACTATGAAAAGCTTTGGCAGTCAATGTGAACAGCTTCTGCTACAAACGTACACAAAAAAGCATGCAGTCGCAGCTGAAATATTTACAGTGAGAGAGCTCAGATACTTTTTACACTTTTGCATTAAAGTCACAGCCTCTGCAGGTATCCAAAGGCTTGGCTAACATACCATTTCATTATCCTCTTCATCTTTTTCATCTTCTAAGAAGCGAATTGCACTGACTCTATTCACTGCCCGCTCATTCCACGTTTCGTCTGACATTTCATTCACCAGACTCTCCAGTGCACCACATCGTGGTAGGTTATCTGTTAGAACAGCAAAATGCATCTGAAGATTCACAGCAAGTCTAAAACAGCAACATGTGGCACCAACAATGACCGCAACGTCCAACCACTCGTCTGAGATTTAAAATTGGCTATTTCTGTTTTTTGGATAGAAAACAGAACTTACATTAATTGTCTGTTATCAAGTACACACAATAAACAGTTTCTGTATAAATGAGAGATTTCTGTACTCTGAATGTTGCAGGTTTGTGGCAGTTTTAAGAGTACTGATTATCTAATTTAATATACCTACCAGTATACATGCTTTTCTTCTGGATCATGTCTGCCATCTGACATTAACCAGCTGCCTAAATGGCATTCCATAACACAGGACCACTGCTTTTACTGACCTCATCCTTATAGTATTACATACACACCCAACAATGTTAATTCCAAGCCTTTCTACCCTTGAATACATGAGATTCATCTGGAGAGGAGGAAATCTAATTTCTAGTAGTGAAGCCTTTAGAGAAAGTCAGGCTATCTCAATTAATCTTCTTGAACTAGCTTAAGCTCCTTTGAATCTAAAGGAGTTAATTTGTTTATTTCAATTCTTAATGCAATTTGTATTCTTAAAATTCAGAAGATGACAGAAAACATTTCTACACTTCTACTGCTTTAATGGTTTCCGTTTGCTCCAGTGGCATAGTATTGAAAGGGTGGAATGAATCTAGGTAAGTTTGGTTACCTACAATACAGATATCTACAGCTGAATTTTGCTCCTCAGGCCCCCTTTGTACTCAGAAGAGAGAATCCACATGACATCTTTAAAAGTTTATTCTTGGGTAGGATATATTACTTGCCAGTAAACGCTTAAATATTAGCTCAGATGAATCCCCTTGAATGTTCACACATAGCTATAAAAGCTTGAGGACAAAAACCATCCAGAAGTTACTGGAGAAATAACCCAACCAACAGTTGGAAAAGAGCTTATGGTCCCACCTGACCCAGAGGCAACTTCCAGTACAACAGGTAAAATCAGCTTACACTGCAATTCTACACTTGCTGAAGAATGTAATACTGTACAGCATCTTGGCTTGAAAGAAAATTAGCTCGCTTATAAGTAAAATGTCTACTGCTTATTACTGGATATGCAAATATTTTTCTGCTAAAGAGGCTGTAGTTGGAAAGTCACCAATTTTCATTATATATATGTATTTAGGACATATAATCAATTTACACAAATATGAACACCACTAGTTGGCCCACTGGGAAACCTCAGAATAATGACTAAGTCTTCTTCTCCCAGGTCTGGATTTTGTTTTAGCTGGTGTTATTATATTTTCAGTAACACTCACAGCCATGTTTTTCAAGTCTTCTGAAAACTAGTATGATTAAAGAAGAGAAAAAAGTTTAAAAGTGAAAATTCAACCTGAACTTTGCTATTTTGCTCATTAGAGCTTACACATGTTTTATAAACTTTTATGGAACAGACAACAGAGTAAATAAAGAAGTAGTACTTCTAATACGTAATGAAAAAACTACTCTAGGCACTTACCTTGGCAACCAGGCTCAGAAGGCATTTGAGGAAGTAATACACACGTTAAAATTTTTTCTCCTGTTTCAGGGTCTGTGTCAGTCTGAAATGTCAGCAAAGGTTGGGACTGGTTATCAGATAACCACAAAGCCTTCAGCTTTAAGGTAGTCAGTGAGAGGGGAAGATACGTCAGCCTAGTTCAAGAGAAAAGTGAAAAGGTCAGAGCAATCTCTAGGAGACTGAATAGATGGCAGTTAAGTCAACTCTTAAGCAGATATTCCTGGGTTGGAATAAATACAACTGAGACGAATGCCTCTAACAGAAGGCACTGCAGTAATCACCAACTCCAACTGCTATTGGAAAAGACCTCTAAGATCATCAAGTCCAACCGCCAACCCAACACTACCACGAGCATTAAACCATGTCCTGAAGTACCACATCCACATGTTTTTTTAGAATGTACAGGGACTCCACCACCTCCCTGGGCAGCCTGTTCCAATGCTTCATCACTCTTCCAGTGAAGCAATTCTTCCTAATAGCCAACCTAAACCTCCTCTGGCACAGCTTAAGCCCAATTCCTCTCAACCTACCACTAGTTACTTGCGAGAAGAGATCAACACCCAGCTTACTACAACCTCCTTTTAGGTAGCTGTAGACAGCAATAAGGTCTCCCCTCAGCCTCCTCTTCTCTAGACCTCAGTTCCCTCAGCCACTCCTCATAAGACATGCTCCCCAGACTGTTCAGTAGCTTCACTGCCCTTCTCTGGACCCACTGCAGCACCTCAATGTCTTTCTTATACTGTGGGGCCATGATAACAACAATACAGAAACCTCTTACCTGTTTCCAGCAACATCCAGGACATGAAGTTCAGTGGCTTGTGAAATCTCAGAGGGAATTCGAGACAATCTGTTGTCACGTACAGAAAAGACATTAAGACTGCAGCATCCCCCAATCTGTATTAGAGAAAGAAGAAAAAAAAAAAGCAAGTCTAGTCTTGTTGCAGTAGGACAGCATAAACAAAGGCATGCAGTATGGGTCATGTAATATGTCACAGTACATCTAAGTTATGATGCCTGCCAGATACTCCACCCAGAGGTAGACTGCAAACAACTGTTAGCTTAAAGTAAGTCTTGAACATCTGTATCTGCGAATAGTGTGTATTTTTACAAATAGGTACCTTTTAGAGCCTTCCATGCCAAGAAAAGATCAGTAATCACACAGACACCATTTTGCAGACAATCTTCATAAAAAATATTAGCTTTAACTTTCAACTTTTTCTAGCTCTATGTTTTACACATCGATCCTTTCTTTCCTCATGCTAACTTCATATACAACCAAGTGCAATGTGGCTTTAGGCAAAGCAAAATGCTAAATTCACCCATCACCTACCAGCGTTTACCAAGTCTGCAAACAGTAATGAAGAGTTCACAAAAAGTAGAAGACTTTATGAGTAACATCTTTGATGTCCTGTTCTGTTAGAAGTGTCTAATTTCAACATGATTATCGTATGAACTAGCCAATTTTATCTAACATCCTCTGTCTCTAACAGTTTATCCAAACATAAGCATCTGCATTCCCAAGCTGATTTCTGAATGCGAAAGATGAGATTTTTCAGTTTTACCCTTAAAGTATCTCTACTTTGCATCAAAAGTAAATGTTATCAGGGAGGAAAAAAAAACCAAAACAAAAACACCAACACATTCCATCTTTTTTCCCAGATGGCAGTTACTACTAGAGACACTGAGATTATTAATTTTAGTGACCTGAAAGCTGTTTTAAGTAACTCTGTTCCTATTTACAAAGGAAACTTACCTTTGTTTATTATACAGAGCTTCAAAAAGCATTGCTTTTCTGCCAGTTCCAAAACTCACCATAATAAAGGAAAAAAAAAAAAAATGTTTCTTCTCAAAGTATTAGAGGCAAAAAAATCCCAACATCTTTTGAAGCTTTCAGGTTAAGTGGATTTAGAGTATAACTACAGCTAGCAAACCCACCAGAAAGTCTTAGTTCAAAAATTAGAGGACTTCTTTAGTCACACAACATGTAAAAAGATTCTTCTGTCACAATATAGCCAATGAGTCACTACACCTTGGTCAGGAGTCTCTAAATCTAAACTCAAATTATTTTTGTGTTTCTAGTTAACTGTCAGTTGTCTTTGCAAGACCCACAGTTCACTCCAAAGCTTGGGATTACGAAGTAAAAACCACATCAATTTACCCTACTCTACTTACCAAGGAAAAAGCCATTTTTAAAGGGTTGCAACTGTCACTTAGAAAATAAACAAATGAACCATTTACACCCGACTCTCTTTCATTTGTATCATAAATACACTTTAATGGAAGAAAGCTGCTCAAGGCTGCTGATTCACAAGCTATTCACACCACAAAGTTACAGCACAACGTTCTCTTGATAAAGCAAAATTTGGAATGGTTTCCCTTAAATCACTGCACTGTAAGACGCATCTATTTCACCAGAGCATCAGCTTTCCCAGCCCTGTACATGCACCAGGACCAGCAACCTCGTTAGCTATTTTAGCTGGTGAATCAAAGCCCTTAGAAACCAGCACTCAAATCACGAGCAAACATTTCTTAGTGCAAAATTCTGCTATCTGCTGTGTTTAAAGTGTGTATAGACTCTTAAATAATGTGCTTCAACACATTCACAGCATACAGTGCTGTATAAAAAAAAAAAGTGTATATATATACACGTATACACTAAGTGTCTGACTGGTGTCTCTAAGATGAGGAGCTGTGAAAAGCAAGAGACAGAATTAGTGAATGTTGATGATCTTGCTATTGATGCCCTAACCATACACAACATGTTTGCTTTTCCATGAATGAAGTTTGTGTTATTCAGTCTTGGAGCATGGAGATCCAAACAGTTTAGCCAAACAAACAAAGTAAAGCCATGCAGCCCTGATGAGACCAAAACTTCTATACTTTTGACAATGGAAAAATGCAGCAGTGGAACTGGCCAGCCTGAGTCGTCATGCATTTAAAGCAGTTTAATGAAAGGTAACAATAGAACCATGGACTGAGTAATACTTACAGGGTTATCAATTTACCTGACCCATAATTTTCCAAGCGGCTAACAATTAAGAAAATACAAGAGACGTTCAATTTATTTTTATTTACACATACTAGACAAGAACATGCCAACAAATGGAAACAGAACATACATTCTTCTACTCCCACAGACAGCTAGAACTCTGAAGTTATTTACTTTAACTTTGCTCCATTAGTCAGTAAGCAATTGTTCAAAGGTTTTGTTTCTTTCAGAGGTAATGAATACTTTTTTTTTTTAATAGGACAGTGGGGGGAGATAACAGACAGATGCTGAATATCTCTTATGAAACTGTTTTTAGAAAATGCAGGCAGCATCAGGTGAGATATCACAGAGAAAAAAAGACAAGCTGACAGTTAAAAAAAAAACCTGAAATCTTTGTCGTTTCAAAAAAAGATAGCACCCACTCAGCAGTACAGAAAGACATCAGATCCAACATTTGAAAACCTAAACATGAAGCAGTACCACTGAGCCAGAGTGCACACACTAAATGGCATGCTAGAAGGAAAACATTGTTGTGACCACCATGAAGTCATACGGTGTCAGAATGTCGTTGGTTTGGCTGACAGTTATTAACTGACAAAGGGCCATGCTTTCCAAGGGTTTGATCACATGCTTACAACAGACTTTGCCAAACCACCAAGTACACAGTTGAGACCACAAGCCCATTTAACAGTTAAGCAGACAGTTCATTTAGAGCACAGACTTCAATTAATGGGGACAAGCATGTGCTTAGTTCTAGGCACAGGAGTAACTGTTCCAAAGACTGGAGGCTTAAAGAAGTCCTCATGTTCTTTTGTAGTGAGCTAGACATCAGGAGAAGGTCTCAAATGAGCTGTGCATGTCTAAGTCATACTCCTGAGATTTATTTAATTCTAGCAACTTACTTAAGGATTGTCTCATCACACCACCTCCAAAGAACAGTCAGACTAGATAAAAATCAAAAACCAAAACCACAAACACAAAACCCACACATCAGTCAGGCAGAAAATGATCATTACTCTGAAGTGGTAATTTTGAGATCACCAATTTTACAGTACCGTGAAGTCTGAAAAAAAACAACTGCTTATTTGCATTCAGGTGCACTTGCTTCAAAGGATGAATGCCACTAGTACTCCTCTGGGTTTCACACGAAACACTGTCCCTGTGGAGGATTTTTTTGTTCTTTTCCTCTATCTCAGTCTGAGACTCATGTTTCTAACAGCTTCCCTGTTCTGGAGAAGTAGACTTCAGTAAGGGCATACATATAGAGGATATCAGCCTGGCTGATGAAACTCCCATCTGCGTTCTGATCATGACCAACATTCACCACTTCAGCCTCCTGCTTTTTTGACATCCATACACCCACTGCCAGTCCATCTTGAACAGTCCTCTGGAACTGCAAGTCTTATCACATCAGTTCTCTGCTGATGTTTCTGATGACTCCTCTTCTCTCCTGCAGACAGACTGATGTTTTGACACCTGCACCAGCTGCGTATTTTTGATCACTCAATTTAACTGTGCACTAACCTGCACAGTACACTAACCTGTTACACTAATCTGACTGTTGCCATTTGATTTTTCTTGTCAATGACAACTTTGCAACTTTCAGGAGGTAAACCAAAGAAGTGTGCGCAGATTCAACCCTGTTTTCCTATTTAGATCCCTCCCAAAACCTTCCATTCACTCCCTTTCCTCAGCCCAGCTGCCACTTACAGTCATTCATCACCACAGACTAAATTTCACTGATTATGATGGCATATCCTTAGACTGTCGGTGTTCTAAAGCCAAAACACAAATTAAATGTGGGAAACTTAGAAGACTTTCAAGTTACAATACTTGAGTAACACCTTTTGATCTCAACATCTGTTAATTGCTCAAAAGCTATGAATCAATCCTGCTGTTTTTACCAGTTAGCATCTTTCACACAGATATAAGCAATCAAAAAAAAAAAAAAACCAAACAAAAAAAAACCCCAAACCATTATGACAAATACTACGATTATTCTTTAGCATGTGACTAGCTAAAGTCCAGCAACACATCTCTTCTATTCAACTCTCAATACAGCTGTCAGCATCAAGAACTCTCACTGGGTTTATCCCATTCTGATAGATGTATTGGGAGTTCAAATATAGCTCCTATCATGTTGTAGAATCTTTTACAGAGGGTCATAGCCAAAATTTTGTTAGGATTCAAATAAATAAATTCAGAATATAACTCAGCTGAAGATAAATAAAATAGATTAGTTCTTTAATTGCAAGGATAGAATAGGTTTAGAGGTGGAAGAAGCTGCCCAATTCACTATTATTAGAGATTCTTCAGTTACTATTAATGTTAAATTGCCTAGGAAAAGATTCAGCAAACTCACTTCCCTGCACCACTGGTGAATAACATGGGAGGAGCACAGGCAGAAGCTTCTCTGCCCTCTGACTCAAGACAAGTTTTCCTGCATTTTTCCCCAGTGCCTTTTTCCCTCTGAGACACACAAACATGCACTCTTACACAAATGAGGGAAGGGATGGGACAATGGAAGTTAAAATCAGAAACAACAAAGCAGCCACAATCTGTTTAAAAATAATAAGAAAAATGTAAAAAGTACAGTAAAATCCTGCAGTTCTACCTACTATAGTAATAATTCTCACCATATGCCTCAGAGCCAGGAATGACACACTACCAGATCTCTGCAGGTTGTACAGACTCATTAACAAAAGCACACAAACTGGAAAACATTCCAAGGAGGTTATTTATGCAAGCGCCAAAATCAACACACCAGTTTCACCAGCATTCCAGTGCCAGGGTGGGATTTCAATACCCAAGAGTCACCAGGCAGGTCTTTCAAGTTTAAGGGGAAAAGCATTTGTAACTATGAACAGGTTTAGACATTCTCGGTTCTTGCTGAGGTTTGTTTTGCCACACAGTTCAGTGAGAGAGGCATCGAGCAGCAAGGGGAGATGCTGAAGATGAAATCTGTCAGTGACTCAAGTCTCAGTCAGACATTCAACTGTTCTGTGCTTTAACTTACATATCGGCACTGGATACAACAGAACCTTTGAACCAGGAAATTTTGAAGGAGTATTTGCATACAGGCTCCTCAATAACCCGAAGTCAAGAAATCTTACACCCAAAAGGAGAGACTGGTTTTACAAGTATGCATTGAAACAATCTGGCAATATAATGGTTTGACAGGCTAGCCTAAAATCCAAACCTAGTAAACTGCTAACAAGAAAAAAAAAAAAAAAACAAAAAAGCCAACAACCCCAAACAAACCCCAAAACCACCAAAAAAAACTGCCACCACCACAAAAAAGGCTAGAGCCCACAGATTGTCTCTACCAGGTTATAAGAGAGCAGGCACATAATTCCCGCCATCGTAACTAGTAAAGCTCTCTTTGCTACAGGCGCAATTCTGCCAGGAAGGACAGAGGCACCAGAGGCAGACAAGGTGTTTGTTACATGTGCTCTTTTCCCTAGCACTTTTTTTTTTTTTTCTGTACACGTTACCAGACTATGTCTTTGTCCCTCTCCAACAGAAGCCAGTAAAGACTGGTCCCACACCCATTTCTTTTAAGGTTGAAGGCCACAAATGCACAATTGTTCTAGCACTCTGTAAGGCAGAGAAAGGATAAGAGAAAGTGGCAAGGAAAAGAGGGAAAGGAAAAGACGGGAAGATACCAAGTAAGACTATCTGCAGTACATACTGCACTCCTCCATTCAACTCTGCTTCTGTGAAGGGGAACCAGTGTACAACTAGTAATAGTGATTGATGTGCAGAGGTCTGAGACCCCAACCTTCACCACGCTATCTGAGGAGACATGGCGAGCAAATCACAGCAGGCAGGGCTGTTGAAATCGACTGCTGGCAGAAGCTCGTGCCTGGCTTTAAATATTAGTGAGTTTGAGAGGAAAATAAATTTAAAAGATGGTATGCTTTCTCACAGTCAAGCAGAACCTTCCAACAGACAGAAAAAGGGTGACATTCTTCAGTTTTCCTTACATGCTCTACCAATGCATTTTGTATGATTTTTATTCCAAAAGAGTAATGACAAGAAGGAAAATGGAAATCAAACATTTCAACAAGACACCAAATTGTTCCTCCCTGCCCACCAAAGGGAAACTCCAAACTGGGGTATTTGCCATTACGAGCACCCCTGAAGCTGCTCCTGTGGGAAGCAAACAGTACTTGGTACACATGTGCTATCTGCTTATGCAGAACATTCTTCTTTTAGAGCTATGAAACAAGAGTCTTCACTGAATTCCTCTGAATTTTAACTAGAAAACATATACTACAGAAATGCTCACATTTGGTTTAAAGCAAAAAGCCACTGGCTAAGAAACATTCTACACAAAGAAAATCCAGCCTCAGGAACAGATGAAACATGAGCAGAGAGAATTAGACTTCTCTCTGTTTTCAAAACTAGTATTTGAGCACTGTAAGAAGGCAATCGAAAGACTTCGAGGGGAAAGTGTTTTATTGCACAGCCTAAGCACAAGGAACTGCAACTGAAACTTGAAAAACTGAAAATGAAAAGTGCCATTAGCTAGACAGCAGGTTCTCCATTGTATGCGCATTAACAGTATTTTTGAGACAAACCACTGCATCAATGGTTTATGCTTTCTACTTGTTATTACCAGCTGATCTAGAGGGTGAACATGACCCTCCAGCTGGAGGTCTGACTTCCTTTAAAAATAAAAAAATGAAGAATTTTAAAAATCCACACAGCAAAACATACTTCAGTGAAACATTCTGGAAATCTTACGTTAAATGCAATTTCAAAGCATTCACTCTAATAAGAATGAAACATATGTGTGGAGACCTTTACAGGAAAAAATAAATTATTTCAAAGAAGTGGATGCCAAAGAGCTCTGTTTCTCTGTCAAGCTCCCTGGGAACCACCCTCTTCCATCTTATTTCCTGGACTTTCTACAACCCCCCAGCTCACTTCATTGCAGAAACCACCTTCCATTTCCTCATCACCCACCTTCTTCAAACACAGAATTATCTTTGACTTTATCCCATCCCTTGCACAGCTGTCCTCTCTCTCATGTGCATTAATGTTCTCCACACACATTCTTGTTCTTCACTTTACCTTTGGATATCCCCAACTCCTTCACTAACTGGGCAACGCTTTCCATCTCTGAAACCCATTTCTGGTTCCAAGACTCCAGTTTCTTGTTCAGCATTAATCCCTTTATTGTTCTGTCCCGAGCCCTTGACTCTGTTATTCACTCCCAACAGACACACTCCATGTTCACCTTGCTATACCTTCTTCTGAAGCCAAGCCTTCTGCTCTCATCTGCTCCTGTCCCTGTTCCTTCCAAGCCATACTGCTTGCCCTCATGCACCACTTCCAATACAGAAAAATGCTTATATGCTACACAAGATGTTAATAGCCAATCTGCAAATAAAGTGTATCAGTAAAACCTTACACACTGTAAGAAAGTCAGAGCAATTCTACTTGAAGGTATAACAGACATGAAGTTCTATGAATGTCAACTACAAATAATTCAGGACACCTGCATAATGTATTACATTAAGTTCTTTGTAAAGACATGGAAAGTTTTCTGCTGAATGAGCACCAAGTCAAAACTGCCACCACATCCCAACCCAGAAACATGGTTTTCCCAAGGTTCTGCCTCTTGCTAGTGTTTATGCAACACATCTGGGTATACCCTCTGCCATTCTTCTGTTCAGAACCAGCAGCACCTCTGCAGAGGAGACACTCTCCTGCTAGAGAAGCTGCAGCACTCACATCATCTCCTTCCTCCCTCACCTTCCCCCACCCTCCTCAAACATATAGTTAACAAAGCAGTCTGTAAAGGAGCACTAAGGGCTATCATGGACCCCTGATTAGGTGACCGACCTGTGGCAGCTTTGAACTGGGCCACTGAAATTGTTGCTGCCAGTGTCACAGCAGCATCCTCTGTCCCTGCTTGGTCCCTCTTCTTCAGACTATCAGCTCTCCCCTATCTCCTGGTTCCCAGCTACTTTGCTTCCTTTTCACAGCTCTGCCTCGAGCTGCCCAAGCTCCGTAAGATAGCGGGCCTGAGCAGAAGTGTGTGCTCACTAGCTAGAGATGATACTCCTCTCAGTTCCCATCCATGAGCTGCCACCTGAGTACATGCCTCTCCTGCTCCTGAAACAACTGGAAGTGGTGAACCAAACCTACAACCTCAGAGCTGCATGTTAGGAAAATTAATAGGAAGAACTACTCAGAGAAAAATTACAGAGAAAGATGTAGTGCAAACAGTTCTGTGCTCCTATCACAGGATCCTGCTTCCCCTGATCTCTTTCCAGAATTTACCATTGAACTGTACTTGTAAAGCCTTCCTTATATTTAGTTTAGTCTTTATATTTAGTTTTACAATATAAAATCTAGCCTCATTTCATTCTATATACACCTCCAAGCCACCAAATCACCACAGCTGCTGTTCAGATTTAATGGACAATTTTTTGATTGTGATTGGTTTGGGAAGAATATCCAGTGGATGAAAGCCACCTGCTGCTTCTTGTAGGCACCTGAAATAATGAGTTTTCTGTTTGTGCAATCACATATGAGAGTTAATTGCACAAAGCTTACCTCTTTGGGCAAAGATGTTAATTTGTTTCTGTCGGCATTCAAATTGTTCAGCTTCTTTAGCTTTCCGATGCTCTTCGGCAAGGACTGTGGCAACAAAACCAAAATAATATGTAAACAGAATCTGTAAATTCACAGGGTGAGGATAAAACTTATCTGACTTTAAAAATTAACTCCTAGGCTGATCCATTTTCAAAACTGGAGTGTAGTTAACCCTCATTACTACCAGGCCTTCCCAAGGAGAGCCACAGTTTTATCTTGCAAAAGAAATGTCCAGGAATGTCGGTTTCTAATATAAATTCACTCCTGACTTATCTCCACACCAGGATGACAGATGCACAACATCTGTGTACAGAAGCATATATGCAGAATGTCCATATTATAGAATCATAGAATCCTTTAGGTTGGAAGACCTCCAAATCATCAAGTCCAACCATCAAGCCAACACTACTAAGTCCTCTGCCAAAACAGATCAGAATCTGTCAGGGTTGGAAGGGACCACAAGGATCACCCAGTTCCAACCCCTCTGCCATGAGCAGGGACACCTCACACTAAATCAGGCTGCCCCAAGCCTCATCCAGCCTGAGCATGGTTATCTAACTTTAGGTTCCCTAAACAGTTAATTGAGATGTAAGCTTCTGACTTAGGTGCTCTGAACTGACATCTAGAAAGGCATCCTTCCAACAGGTTTAAGCTCTTAACTCTACCAAGCACCAATCTAACTTATGAAATATTCAAACCTAGATTTTTCAATGAACACTTCTACTCTCCAACTGTCAGTGACCTGTGAAGGCAGTTTCAAAATAATGGAAGGAAACACCTAAGGGAAGGAAGTCCAAGATTTTATTTTAACTGACCATGTATTATATTTAATACCTGGCTGGAGTAGACAGCAAAGAACAGTACAACAGCAGCTCTGCAGTGCTCAGGGCTTGTATTCAGTTCCAACAAACCTGATCCAGATAATGTACAGCAAAAAATTGGCAACAACGCAACGCAGCGTAAGCTCCGCATTAAAAGTAAATAACAAAAACTCCACAACAAAGTAAATGATACCTGCACTCCAGTGCTCCAGTTTCATTACAGATCGTGAAAGTTTCAAGAATACGTATGTAATGGCTTAAGCCATGGGAAGGGAAGATTGGTACTGCACACCATTTGATCTTCAGCATTCATTTAAACAAGTTTGAAATGAGCTGCATTGAAAGGAAACTCACTACATAACAATAGCAGCAGTGGGTAACCTTACAAGCTAAGTGATCCAGTGCTCAGGAGCAGGTCTTCTTACCAGCACTCATTTGAGCAGTCATGGCTGTGCTTACCTGCAGTTGGTTTTCTGTTAGAACTAGTTCAGTAAGGCTTTCACAGTCTCCAATCGAATCCGTTAATTGAATAAGTTTGTTCTGATCAACCTTCAAAATGGAGAGCCTCCTCAATTTTCCTGGACAGAAAGAACAATGCATTTGTTTAGCTTAGTATCCTCTGATACCTGCTTTAATTTACAGAAAATCATTCAGCTGCAAAACTTTTAGAAATCCTCTAACACAATATTTTTTTTCAGGTAAAAAAAGAAACTTGAGTACTGCTTCACTTGGTGATTGCACTGTTTTTTAAGTTTACAGGATCGCTGAACTCATATTCAATGCAAACATTCACATTTAGATTTTATTTAAGTTTTAGTTTGAATGGTATCCCACGTAAACGTCAAGGACATGTCTACCTAGAGGCCTATAAACAGAAAAAAAGTATCTATTTTTTCCTCCATTATACCACGTTTCTTCATAAAGGACCATTCAGAAGATCAAGGATGCCTACTCAGCCATAGTAAGAAAGTCTTGCACTAAAATGGCAGCCCAAACTCAAACAGGGTCAAAGTCTCTTTGGCCTAATAGAGGACCCAGTTAGTCAGACATGAAACACTAGTTCATTTTTTAGAACAGAAATCAAATTTCTTTGAAAGTCTTCTTCCCAGGAAGGACAAAATACTATTTCAGAGCAGAAAGCTCACCTTGCTCGTCCATGTATAACGAAGAAGTTTTTCTGAGGTCAGTGAAACACCGGATTGCCTCAGGTTGCCCAGAGAGGTGGTAGTTGCCCCATCCTTGGAAACATTCAAGGTCAGGCTGGACTGGGGCCCCAAGCAACATGATCCAGTTGAAGATCTCCCTGCTTACTGCAGGGAAGATCAGACTAGATGATCTTTAAAGGTCCCTTCCAATCCAAACTATTCTGTGATTCTGCTCTTTTGTATCAGAATGATTTTTGGTGCTAAGCAGAGCTGATCCAGGCACATAGAATTCAGGAGATGTCACTAGCTGCTGATAGCATCCTGCCCATCTCCACACTGTCCAAAATAGCTAGAATAGGCTGGCACATCAAATCCACTGATAACACTAAATCAAGAAAAGACAGCTGATACATGGTCTGATAGCAACCTAAATACAAACATGAGGTTCAGCAAGGAAAAGAGCAGAGCTCTGCACCTGGGCAGAATAACCCTTTACACCAGTACAGGCTGGCAAATGATGGGCTGTACAACATCACCCCTGGAAAGGACCTGGGGCTTATAGTGAGCACCAGGCTGAATATGAACTAGCAGTGTGCTCTCACCAGAAATAAATGCTGGCTGGACTATATTAGGAGTATTACAGTCAGCAGATCAATGAAAATTACTACGTCCATCTAGTTGGCACCAGTGAGGCCATACCTGTAAAATCATGCTCAGTTTCATGTCCTGTCTTCCCTCCCTGACTCCCCAGTTAAAGACAGATGCTGATGAGGATCCAGAACAAAGCTATCAAGATGACTAGGGCACACATGAGTGGAAGCTGAGGGAGCTGGCTTTGTGGGCTCCAGCAAAGAAGCAGACAAGGAGGCATCTAGGAACATTCCACAACTATTTGAAGAGCCATTACAGAGATGACAGAGCCAAAACATCCTCTGCAGTAGCAGGCACAGCAATGGCCATAAATCAAAGTGTGGAAGGTCCCAGCTAGACATCAGAAGCTTTCTCACTAAGAGGTGGTGCAGCACTGAGACCGGCTCCCTGAGGTCCTGGAGACACCTCTGTTATGGGCTTTAGAGATTGAATGAGCTACAGCCACAGCTGATTTAACCTACCTGTGTAGGTGGGAGCCCTGCCCTGCTCTGGGGGCCCTACAGATCCATCAATCCCACCAAGGATTTAGTCACCACCTGAGCCCCTCCAAGGAGCTTCCAAGGAGACCAGCAAGGTTCACTTCAACCACAATACCAGATTTTCTCAATTTCACAGAATAAATTCAACTATTACACCAAAAGCATAAGTACTGTAGCCCTAACCAATTTTCCAAGCACAAGTAAGCTGTTATATTCATCTAAGTAGCATTTTTTTTTCCCCTTGATAATTAAATTAATTCTAGAAAATGTTATAAAATGCACATGCAAATTAGGCCTGTCCTGAAATAGCCTGGCCCTTCCAATCTCCTTCCCTAGCACAGGTTCTCCACTTAACAGGATTCTCGGGAAGCAGCAGCAGCTCCTCGTGTTCACCAGCTGGTGTTATGGACAAGCTCCCCTCTTGCAGGCTGCGTGGGCTGTAGCCTTTCAGAAAATACAGCTCCATTTCTGATGTACAACAATCGTACTGGCCAGCTCAGACCCTCAGAGAGGGCTGCTACAACTCCCTCCCGAACACAGACTAGCCGAATGTAGGGGACTCATAGTAGTCACCTCACTCCACACATGTAACTTCTAGAAAAATATTAATCCTTTCTTAGGCTCATACAGCACATAGAGGGAGTGGAGAGGTCTGTCCAGTCTTTTCCATGTTGCTGGTTAAACCACACTGATAAGTCTTCCCTGCTCTGCACCTTCATGTAAAAAAAAAAAAAAAAAAATATCCTGGCAAGCAGAAGTCACACTCTTGCAACATGAAACTCTCTGGAAAAACAGCTGATGAGTAGTAGAGAAGCAATGCCTCCCTGACTGCTCAGCACAGTTACTGCAGGGGTAAAAACATTTAGCTTAAAAAAAGGCACTGGTAATGCTTTAGAAAACATTCCTCAATTCCTAACCCTGTTTTAAGGGGTCAGACACAGAAAGGTTGTAGTTCAGATCCTCAGGGGTGAATAATAACAGGCTGAAGCTGGAACAGCTTTTCACTGGGTTCAATATAGAATTAAACACATTGTCCAACTGGAGATAATTACACAACCCCACTAAAAAGGATGTCTTTTTTGTAGTGATACTGTCAGTCAGTCTTATCAAGTGACCTACAGCATGTTACAAGCTAGAATTTTACAGCATTAAAAAGTGTGACAGTGACGTGGACACAGTAGGAACAGAGAGAATTTATTAATTCGTTTGGGTAGGTATCAAGTGAAGGGCAAAAAAGGATTACAAGTTAGTCATTATGCAGACAATTAAAATGTGAAATTAACAGAGCTATGAATTTCACACTAAGCAAAACATAAAGAAATAAAAAGCTGAGACAAGTTCATGTCTTGCACAAGACGACTTCAAAAGACTCGAAAACAAACGACTTCCAATATAGAGTGGATTGCGTGGTTCTGTGTGATAGCATTCACCTTGTACTTACCAATGCCATCAGGTAAGACCTGAAGTAAATTCTGAGAAACAAGCAAGTCTGTTAAAGAAGTCAGACCACTAATTTCTTCAGGAAGGCATTCCAATTTATTTTCAGAAACATCCAGACAAAGCAGGTTTTTCAGGTTTCCTACTTCCTGCAACACCAGAAAAAAATGTAAGTCATGCCCAAACACGTAACAAAGCAATTTGAAAAATGTACCATTGCAATGAAATTCCAGAAGGAAAAAACAATTCTATGATCTCTAAACTGGTCATTCTTTGTCTGACCTCTAAATGCAGAAAAAAGCAAATAATTACATTTTACATATGATAAATCAACTAAGTGGTTCAGTCCAGTTTCTCATTCTAACTCTAAAACTGGCTGCAGTAGTCAGCCAAGGTATGCTGAGTGCACCCAGGCAAGCACCACCCAAAACTGGAGTTCTCCTCAAGTAAAGACTCCAAAGTGGTTTTTTCAGAGCTACAGATTATCAACCTCCACATAATTAAAGTCTGCCCCTCCCAGTTAACCCCAGGCAAATTAGGATTAGTTTCTCCTGGCTGATACAGCAACATGCCATGACATCTAGGGATTTCCTATCTTCACATCTCCCAACTGCAACAAATGTAGAAATAGGAATTGGGAGTGTTACTCTAGCAAGCATATTTGAACTGCCAAATTATACTGCCATCATCTACATTTATTAATGATTACTTAATTTTTTTACAATGGCAATCCACCAATTAACCTACATCTGGCAGAGAAACACCTGTGTCCCTATTAGCCATCAGAGCACCCTCCCACTCCCCAAGTGTAAAGACATCACTATATATGCTCCAGAATAGTTCTCATTTTAGTCATTCAAGTCATCTTTTGGAGAACAGAACGGGTTGGGCAGAAGTGTCCTTTACTTTTACATATATCAAATTTTCACGCAGTGACAGCTTTGATCCTAACTCACAAGATCAGTCCTTTTATTTTGGAAGTGTTTGCCTCTAAAGAGAATCTTTCATTGAATGCACACATGCCACTCTCCTTCATCCTACAAGTTCATATTTTGGACATTAGACAAAATACACAATAATGGCCAGCTTCAGTAACAACAGCTGCTACAGTCACACTTGACCTTTTACAAACTATTATTAGCGTTTAGCTTCATCTACTTAAAAAATTATTAGGCCAAGCCAACAAGAACAAAGTCAACAAAGCCCACTAAACTCTAAGTGATGTCCAAGTTACACTGTTGATAATGAGATCAACACAGCAAATAACAGCAAACTGGACAAGGAACAGTAGAAAACTAGTTTTGAATTTGCTCTAAAGGAAAAAAAGAAGGAAAAGAAACCATCCCACATGTTATCACAGTTCTTAAGAAAGGGAATTTAGAATGCTATAAGCTTTAAATGCTAAGGCCTCTTATCCCATGACTGATGTCAGATGGGGGATTTGCCTGCATAAATCAAAATTTCTATTTATGGCAACAGTTCTATTATTGTACTTCTCCCAAGCACTCTGAATGGAAGAAGATAACTGGGAAAAAAAAAAAATCATCCTCAAAATTGTCAAAACTGCAGTTCAGATGGCTATAGAAGATGAATACTAGCTCAGCCAACTAGTGGCTCCCTAATCATTTCAGAACAATAAACAGAGGGTGAGTGATCCTATAAAATGAACAATGTACCTATAAGGAAACAAATCCTTTGTCAAAGTGTTTAAAAGAAAAAGTCTGACAAAATATAATATCATGTACAATCCCTTGCAGCAGAACTTAGGAAAAGAAAACCCTTACACATCCAAAACCAAACTCAGGCAAAATTAACTAAGGAAACTATTGGATTTTATATCACCTCCCTCTGGGTATGAAATAAATGTTTTCTTTTAAAGACATCTTCAAAACAATATCAGTAGAGCTCATCTTTACCTGAGGTATTTCAGCTAATTGGTTTCCATCCAACCAGAGGTCTTTAAGATTGAAAAGTGCACCAATTGTTTCTGGCTATAACATAAAAAAGTATTAATGTTAAGTAACATAGGAGCTTCAAGTAAAAGCAAAATGACCACCCCATATTACAGGCTGAGTAAACCAATCCTTACTCCAAACACTATTTAGAAGTACCACGATTAAATGCAGCAAGGGTTGACTGTAAGCGTTTGGGAACTCCTCCATATGAATTAATTACTACAGCTTAACAAGCTACCATACTTCACCTGGCATGCTCTAACACTCTTAATCTACTGCAAATCCAATATTTAATTGAGTCATCTTAAGGGAAATGACAAACATCTTTTGGTAGAACTACCTGCCACAATGTCGGACACTGTGAACCTCACCTCAGCCCTTTCCCAAAGACTCCTACTCCCACCCTGGAAATAGCTGAGCCTGTATCTGTGCTCGGTCCGTACAGTTCCTTACAGAAGCCCATGTGCTCATTTTGCAACTCCAAGTGCAGACACAGTTTGTGCCCTTCCATTCCTTTTTCCTTCCATAAACACAAAAGTCTGTGCAGTGCTCCTGTTTTCTGGAGATCAGCTCCATTTTTTTGGCTAAAGTAATATCATACCGAGTAAGACTAAGCAGATACGGGAAGCACCAACTCACTGCCAAAATTCAACTGCATGTATAAAAAGACTCTCCTTTCATACATTCTTCTTTCTTCAAATTTGGACATCCTACAGCCTATTTAATCTAAATGATACATAAAACATGCACTTTCAGTGGCATGTTCTCTTACCAAGTGATAAAGTTCATTGTTTCCTAAATCAAGTTCTTCTAGTCGCTGCAGCTGGGCAAGTGATCTGTAAGATGAGATAAGTCAAAACAAAACTACATCAGACTAAGCAAACAGAAACCCCATGTATTTGAATGAGTTCATTTTGCTGCAACTCTTATTTCAAATTACAATGTATTGTAGATGGAGTTATTTTACTGGGCACAAACTATTTGCAGTAATAATCTCACTGAAGAAATAATCTGACTTGTCAGTGTAAATATATGCCCTTGAAACTTAAAACTTAGTATAGGTAATCAAGCCATTACTCTTTACGTTAACCACCAATCCCTTGGAGTGCACAATGCCACACAGTTTAGTATAGTTGGTTAGATTTATTTTTAAGGGGAATTTACAGTTATGCAACTGGATAAAAATTCCCCACAGTGACCACATGTAACAGTGTGACTCAAGACTCTACAAATCCATCATTTATCTTCTCAACCTCATCTATCCATTCCTGAACTATTTCAGTTTGGATTTGAGGATGCAAACAGGGAAGCACCAAAGGATGAAAAAAGTTCTCGGAACAGAAACAAACATCCTTCTACTTCTGCAGACCATTGCAGATCTCTTACTTACCTTCACCAAGGCCGTAGTAGCATGAGAGCCAGGGAGACTCATCAGCTACGTTCCTGACAGAACTTTCCAGGAGCAATAGAGATGTCAACATCTGTGATAGCTTCATTCTGACACTGCATGGCAAAACCCAGCTAGCAATTTGCATCTTCTGACCACTGACATTTAAAGCACCTTATGGCTCATCACAGCTATTAACAGCCGCAACCAAGGTACTGGGCAGACTGATGGGAAATATGGACCCCAAAGAAACTGGGAAAGAGATTCTGATTAAAATAGGTTAAATCTATTACAGTGTCTATTAAGTTATCTAAACAAGCAAAAAAGAAGACACCAAAACTCTTGCAAGATGCAATCAGGTAGTGAAGGAAGGGAACTCCTTCACTACAGAAAGAAGAAGATTCTTCCAGGCAGCCAAAAAGGATCCCAAAAATATAATATACTTGATTAATCTTACAAAAGACCACCAATTCCTCTGCCACAATACGGATAGAGTAATCTAGATATCACCTTTTTTCCCCAAAAAAATCACAGTGGGTGGAGTCAGACTTCAGAAATTGGTAGGCCTAGTTAGTCATCAATGTTTTGATCTTCATGCTTTGGACACTTTTGGTTACTTAGCCCTGAACATGAATGCTTCTTTAAATGCCATGAGGGTCTAGAGTGGACATCTCTGAGATCCTATTGCCCTACTTTCACAGTTATGAAACTTCAGCATGAGAATAACCCAAACCACCACTCCCAGTGGTGATGAGTTTGTTCAACGTGTGCAGAAAGAAATGTTTGGTGCTGCTATATTTTATACAGAATATTTTTACAGAGCAAAATCAATCAACGCAGACTACAGTTTTCGGGTACTAACCAAGTACAACCAGAAGTAATGGATAATTAGGTGTTGATGAAAAAAAGCTGTATCTGATTCATGTTGTCAACTGGCACTAAATGTTTTCTAGTTGTCATTTAGTTTCATGTTAACATAGCTTAAGAACTAGAGTATTTTATGTTAACATAATCAAACACATGAAATGTCACTTACTCAGGTAAATATGTCAGCAAATTTTCTCTAAGTTCCAGTGAAGCCAGGTTATAAAGACTAAAAAGAAAAAACAAACAAACCAACCATATTTTAATGCAATCTTACTTTTTATATTCCACACTTTCAGAAGAAAAGAGTGTGTTCACACAGTTTAAAACAACATTGCTGTGAACTGTTTTTTTGTTGTTTCAATTCAATCAGGCTATCATGTGAAAAGCAGCAGACAAAGACTGGAAGTTTTTGCTTGCTTCTCTGTGATACCTCAACACATTAAAGCTAGAAAGTAAACAGACAAAAGACAAATTTCCATTTGTTAAAAGGTCAATAGTTGCAAGTTACTGAACAATGCTTATTTAGATGAACTGCGTTTACTCACTGCAGAATCTGTTACCAAAGTCACAGAGCATCAGGTAAACCCACCAGCGTTCTAATGATGGTGTGCTCATTACTGTAAGTGACATTCTGCTTCTAAGCGGCTCACTTACTCCATATCCCAGGCTTTTAGTAACATCACCATAGCAACACTCAGATTTTTCAGGGGTTTATTTATGGCTAAATGGAACACAAGGAGTCAGACATTATCCCAACACTATAATCTGCTCTAATCCTCCAGCGTCCCAGGGAAAAATAAAAATCAGATATGGTGACTGCAAATAAGTAGTTTCCTACAACAGAGTATGTTCTGTCCTCGTGTGCTGGGAAGGGGAACAGTGTGCTAGGCCTGAAATGAAATCTAGATTAAAAAAGGAGTGCCACTAAATTTGAAACATATTTAAATCTAACTCCAAAATGGTTTTGTTTGTACACCTTAGGAAAAAAAAACAAGTCCACATACTCAGACCACATAGCACTGTAATACTTGTTTTCACTTCAGAAAATACAAAAAAACTGTATTACAGGATCATTAGTTAGCTCTAATAAAAAAAAATCAGCTGATAACCTGCATAAAACTAAAAGAAAACCTTCATCTTGTAACTCCCATACAGCTATCTAAGCAGAGAAAGCAACGGAACTGATGTAGTGAGTGGTTAAAGGGGAAAGAATATTTTTCATGGATTAACTTTGGATGTTGTCTGAAAAATACATGCTTATTTCAAGCACCCATTTCATGCTGCATTCAGAAAACAGTGGATGGAATCTCACAGGAGCTTTGATTACAGTCTCAGCAGCCCCCTCCAGCTTTTAAAATACACACATTTTACCCAAGGCATTCTGTATTCCAGAAGAAATACAGTTAAAATACCATATAGGTGAAAATAATCTTTAAAGAAGCCTATTACAAATTCAGTTAGAAGATATCTGAGAATAACTGAAGATATCTGAGAATAACTTAACTACTGCCACCCAAAATCATTTGACAGAAACAAGGTAACAAGGAAGCCATCACTCCAATACCACAAGAGAAAACTCACATAACAATTTTAACACAATAAAACACAAGTAAAGATGGGACCCAGTATCTGACATCCTCATAGAAACCAAACTGGTGGAAAGGGAGAGGAAAGGGATGAAGAACAGATTCTCTCCAAGGGTCTGCTCTTACTCATATTGTCACCCACAGACTGCCATTATATTGTTGTTTACAGGTTTTCTAGAAACTTATTGCAATATTCCGTTGAATTTCAACACTTTCTCTTCAAGCTCGTATTAGGTGAGGCCTATGATTCACTTATATCAAGCAAATACAAAAAGGATAAGCACATTGCCAAACTACCTTGTAATTTTGTGTTTACAGATCACCCCACATGTACTTATCTCCCTCCCCATCACACTTGTAGTGTCGATGAGTAAAATGGTGCAATCTCTTAATTTCTCTTCTTACGTCAGACACCACTTTGGCTGCGGTTGAACAGAAGTCTTTGTCAGCAAACCCAAGTGCAACAGCAAGAACTTGGGAACCACCATCTTAGCCAAGCTCATCATATCATTAAACTGGGGCAGGTCAGTGAATCAGCTGAGGAAAGTGATACTGCTTAAAATAACCCTGTAAGAGGAGTAACACAGATCACTAATCCAACATAGAATAAATCCCTGTAAACACCGGGGCCAGTGTGACCCCCCAAGAAGGTGCAAGGCTGTACTACCTGTACTGCCAAGCCAGCAGCGCTGTGAGGATTCACTGGGCAGCTGTGCCCTTGTGGATACCCACCAACAGCTTTCCACCTAGCAATCTAAATAGAGACTAAGTCTATTAAGTGTATAGCAGCAAAGCTGCCCCATTAAACTGAAGAATTATGTTTAAGGTGGACCCGTTTGAAAGAAAGGCCAGAAAATGAAAGGAAGTTGTCTCATTACTCTTAAATTTTGACGAATGAGAGGCATCTCCCAGCAAGCCTATGTGCTGCAATTTAAAATGGGAAAATGCTACAGTTATCATATAAAATTAAAAAGCATGCCGATACATTGAAGCACCAGTCTCCAATTCTCTAATACATTAGAGAGCAGAGTTGTTAAGTCCTCCTTAAATCTAACAACAGCTTCTTAAAATATTGTATGTTCACTAGCATTTTTCTGGTTTTAAGATATGCTAAGAAACAGGATTTTAAGTAATTTTCAAGAAAAATCCCTTTTTTTTTTTTTTCCTCCATAGTTTTCAAACATGTTTCTTGATTTATTAACATATCCTCTTCAGGAAGTGTAATCCTTCCACTTCCCAAACAGAACTAGAGATTTTTCACAATATACTAAATGAAATAATATCTTCATTTCCCTCTGCCCTTAATTTTATGGGTGCACTGTTAGTCAAGAGTCTTCCTGAATTATCTGAAACAGACTAACTTCTTTTAGTTCAACTATTTCAGAGTCTTTCATCACCTAGGTGAGAAAACCACACTTGGAGGGCTACATGCTTCAATCCATAAACCACAAAGGCAACAGCAACCTAGTCAACTCAGACAGGAGACAGCTCCATCAACAGCTGTTCACCAACTGCATTTAGAAACAAAAATGTAGGACAAAGCATTGCAGGCTGCTCTCCAACACAAACAGTCCACGTTCCACCCCAAAAACCCAACAGAAAATGTACAAGCAAAATGTCATCCGTACTCTAAAGGAGAAAGGGGGAAGAACACAACACAGAAACAAAAATACCTAAGTACTTTTCCAAGACTACTATCATAGAAAGCTATTTCACAGAAACCTGTAAAAAGTATTAATATTGTAATAATCTCACCGCAAAAGCTAGCACACAACTCAAACGCCGAGCATCTATGTGGCGTTACTGAGAACAAGGCAACAGCCAGACCAGGGTGAGGATGAAGTAACTGAAATAGTTTTCCATCTCAACTTTCCAGATAATTTCTGGTGTAAGGGTAGAAACAAGCTGAATTTAAAGGTACAAGATGTCATTTTCACAGAATTATAGAATGGTAGATTTTTGAAGGGGCCTCTAGAGATCATCTAGCCCAACCTCCTGCCAAAGCAGGTTCACCTACAAAAGGTAGCACAGGAATGTGTCCAGGCAGGTTTTAAAAGTCTCCAGACAAGGAGACTCCACAGCCTCTCTGGGCAGCCTGTCCCAGGGCTCTGTCACCCTCACAGGAAAGAAGCTGTTTCCTCATGTTCAGATAAAACTTCTGTTCCAGTCTGTGCCCATTACCCCTCGTCCTATCACTGGGCACCACTAGAAAGAGACCAGCAGCATCCTCTTCACCCTCACCCTTCAGATATTTATTGATAAGGTCCCCTCTCCGCCCTCTCTCCTCCAGGCCAAACAGACCCAGGCCCCTCAGCCTTTTCTCATAAGAGAAGTGTTCCAGCCCCTTAATCACCCTCATAGCTCTCCGCTAGACCCTCTCCAGTAGTTCCCTGTCTCCTTGGAACCAGGAATGTGTGGCCTCACCAGGGCAGTGTAGAGTGGGAGGAGAACCTTCCTCACCTGCTGGTCACACTCCTCTTCATGCACTCCAGGATACCATTGGCCTTCATGGCCACACAAGCACACTGCTGGCTCATGGCTAACTTCTTGTCCACCAGGAATCCCAGGTCCTTCTCCATGGAGATTTTCATGTCATTTAGTCATGACACAGCTAAAATTGTCATTTTCACTACAAACCAGATACACTTATTCACTGTTGCACCTAAAGTAACTGTAGATATTGGTATTCATTATGTGAAATCAATAGCTGAGAACAAAACTAATAGCAAGAAAGCAGTCTTACCAATGCTGGAAGTGTCTTTCCTGAGCGTTCCTGTCAGAGTTTAGAGAAACTTGCAATTCAACATGGTCTACACAGAACACCACAAATACTCCCTCACGTCAACTGCAGCGGCCTCCTCCAAAATAAAGGTAAGACTAGAACCAGCTAAGATTGGAAACAAAGCATGTTCATCTTCTTCCAAAGCAAGTCAGTTTTCCTTTGGATTAATTACAAAGAGATTAAGCAACAAGCCCTACAAAATAACCATTTCAAAAGCAGAGGGATCCCTGGGCAACAGCAGTTTACTGCAATAGGTAAAACGACATCAACTGCCGTTTAAATAAAGGAGAAAGAGAAAAGGAAGAAAAAGACAGAGAGGTAAGTTCCCTAGTTATGCTGGATGAAATCACACTTTCAGTGTACCACATACATTAAATATACTCTGTCTTGTAAAGTTATAAAATACAAAACTAAGAAGAATTATCCTAGTGCTTCAACTTTATCAGGGACAGCCGCATCATTCCCCTGTTCAAGGGGACAGAAAGTCAGCTTTAATAGTGACAACAGACAAAACTATGTATCCCATTTTTATCACTATCCCTGCAAGTGGACAGGGAACACCCAAGCTCTTGGCATACACCAACAAAGGCTTCCAAGGAAGGCACTAAGATGCACAGTAAGACATATGTTATTTTCTTGTGAAAATGGAGTTACAAATACAAAGGTGGAATGAGAAATGTGGAAAAAGCCAGGAGAAAATTAAGACCAATTATAAAAGGACTAATACAAAAGCTAAAGGTGCTTAGTCAATAAAAACTAAACAATTGCCTTCTCTTATTGGAACAATATAAGTAATGCATTTTGGCCTTATGTCAAGAGCAGCACACAGCTGAGCATGCAAGACTCAGCCTTGGAGAAACAAGGAAGCAAAGTTGGATGAGATGAAGATCTAAAGTACCTGCAGAAATGCATAGCCCCATCCGCAACCTTCCTAGCAAGTTTCAGCTGGTTAGGGGAACGTAAAATCCCAACTGCAGTTTATCCTCATGTTTGTAAGGCTGCAAAAAGCACGAAAAGACAGAAGAATGGGCATGATCCCCATATTTAAAAAGAACAAAGGAAGTATTGTTCAAAACCATTCTTCCAGAAGTCATCTTTGAGACCATTCCCCTTCCTTTTTGGAGGCAAAGCAACTTGAAGCAGCTTGCATCTAAGCTAAACATTATTCCTTCCTCTCAAGTTTAGGTGTATAATGTCCAAGCGAAAAGCACATGAGGCTTTCCTCAGCAGTCCTCTTCTGGACTTTGATTAGCAGGACAGTATTCTACTAAGAACAATTCTAGTAAGGAAATCTGAAAGTAAGGATTATGTTCCTAATAATTGCCATTTTCTATAGAGTTGGGAGAAGTGGACACAAATTATGGGGTAAAACACACCTTCCTTGGAAGACTGATTTTAAATAGGTACAAAAGAATGTAAAGTCATTTTGTCATTCCAGACTTAAACAACAACACTGAAAGCCAGAGGACAAACATTTGCATTGTCAGTTACTTGACCTGAATTGTCAATACCATTAATAGGCCTGTAAAAATGTACAGATCTTCCACAAGTAAAATATTAATATTTTTTATACTTCTGTTTTCATCAGCCACTAACTGGAGGAATGACTAAAGAGACAGTGAGTAGTAAAAGTCAAGGAATTTCCCAAATATGTTACAGAGGTAGTCTAAATGGCTAATTATATTTTCTACAAAAGCTTGGTATTCATGTTGCTAAGATGAGTTCTATTCTGTCTCTCCCTCACACAGAACAAGCACGGTCAAAAAATGGACAGGAACACTAAACTCCCTATGACCTTCAAATGCCATCATTAAGGAGAGCTTTGTAATTACAGCTTAGCCTGTTCACTTTTGAATGCTTTAACTGAACATTCTCTAATTTGCTTATCGAGATTACTGAAACAGGTTGGAGGGACCAAGCCAATTCACTATTACAACAAGATTTCATATTCAAAATATCTTCCATTCCACTCATGCAACATCAATCTTCAACAGTTTAAACAAAAAACTGAATTACTTTATTTCAAAAATTATTGCTAAATATATGTTAATTTCTTCTTCCTTGTGCAACACACAAGATGCAATATCTCTTTCTTAAAAGGCTAGATGGCAGAGCATTCACTACTACATTGTTAAACAGTGTTCCCAAAATAAACCTTGTACTTCCTTAACATTCAATTTTGCCATTTAGCAAACAGCTTCAGTTATCACTGAACGTTCTACCTACTCAAACTCTGTAAATATTACTTGTCATGCTAAACTCAGATAAGCCAGAGTAAGAGCTTTTAATAGTATTTATATCAACCTAGCCAGACCACCTACAAACAGTCACCCTCCTACAATGTACTTCCAAGGCAACCATCCTCATCACTTTAGCTGTGTCATGCAAGATTGTATTTTAATCAGACATTATGAACAGGTGAAATGGTCTCAAGTGACC